CCCCCCCCCCAAGAACTCCCTGTTCTCAGAAGGCAGAGCACAGGCCTCAGAAGACCATCCCGAGAGAACCACAGAAAGACAGCAGAGGGCGAAAAAGGAAGGAGCCCTAAGAGACGGGCTGGGGCAGCCCTCACGAAGAAGGAAACAGTCGATGCCCTTGACGCTAGACTCACCTCCAAGAACCTACTGCCCCCACCGACCCATCAGAAACTAAACTCTAGAAACAACTGAACTCAAGACAGACAAGCCCCAGACCCCTCCCCCAGACACAGAGGCCCAGGCACACCAGGTACTTGTGCAGGGACACCCTACACCCACGCTGGCGCACCCCCACCTGTGCCCAGCCAGGGGTCCCCCAGCCCTGGTACCTTCGCCGCCGCCTGTCCCGGGAGGCGCTGCGCTGGTCCCGGTTGCGCCGGTCGCGGCTCCGGCTCCGGCGCTTGCGGTCCCGGCTTCGAGAGCGGCTGTGACTACGCTTCCGGTGCCGGTTCTCCTTGTCTCTCTCTGGGCCAGGGGGAGGGGGAGGAGACTGAGCTGAGGGAGGACACGGCCCAGCCCACCCGCTCACTGGTGGCTATGCCCCAAGCCCCAGGGAGGCCACCCCCAAGGGGAAGGGATTCGATGGAGGAGGGGAGATAGCAGGCTTCCTGGGTCCACAAGCGAATCCAGGGACCTTAGGGGACCAAGGGGACGGGAGCTGGTTACCTGAGGGGAGAGGGCCTGGAAATGCCCCCGGGGTGTAAGATACCTGAGGACGCTCAGGAGGAGCTGGGGAGCCAGAGAAGACAGAGGAGGCTGGCTCCTGGTCCCCCTCGAGGGCTGAGGGGCCTGACCCCAGGGTCGTCCCTGAGAGGGGCAGGGCTAGAGGCTGGGGAATCAAGAGACCCAATGATGTTTTCCTGAATGAAGGAAACTGGCGACCCCTCAGGAAAGACCTCCTCAACCAGCTGGCACCCACAGCCCCACCATCAGGCCCCAGGCACCAGACAGAGATCTGATAGCCCCAGAAAGCCAAGACACCCAACAGTCCCTTCCCAACCAGGTGAAGAATACAAGAGTTCCTCCTCTAGGGAGGTGCCCCTTCCTGAATTTGGGCTAAAGAGGAGGTGCCAGGAGGAGTGTGCCCTGCCCACTCCGGCCCACTGCCCCTCGCAGGCTGGCATCCCAAACCACCCCTACCTGCCCATCGTCCCTCAAAGCCAGTACAAGAGAAACCAGGGTCCAGCCCCCAGTTGGCTCATACTTTTCAGGTGGCGCCTAGAACAGAGCACAGCCTTGCCTGTAAAACCAGACACCTCTGCTCAACAGACCTCTCATCTGGGAAGGAGGTGCAGGTCCTGTCACAGTATATTTCCTCACCCTTAGTTCAAAGACACCCCGGACTCCCCAACTACCCATGTCCAGGGACAGAAAAAGGAAGAGGCAATAAGGACAGGGCGTTAAAGTGGACTTTGGCCTCACCCGTACTACTTTATACTATACGCTTCTTCAGACAATTAAATGTGAACTTCCTGTAGATTGAGTCTCAATTCCTGAACCACTCAGGAAAGGTGCTCCTTCCAAGCACCTCAGAAGAAAACACACAGCAGCAAACACCAGAATGCTCCTGAGAGCAGGCTCCGTACTTAGTCCCACTTGCTCTCGATCCTCACCACTGCTTTGAGAAAACACTGTGGCCGCTCAATAGGAAAAACGAGGCACAAGGAGCTCGTGTAACTTGCCTGTGGCCAAAAAGCAACAGAAGAGTGAAGCCTGAATGTGAACAACGTAACATCAGCAAGTACAGTTATCGACACCTGGGCACACATCTTAACACAAAGCAGGCAGGACTCACTAGGGTCTGCCTAGAACCACTAACGACAACATCATTATCTCCTTGAAAACTAAAGAAGTAAAAAAAAAAAAAAAAAAAAAAAAAAAAAAAAAAAAAAAAGACTGGAAGCAACACGAAGTAGAAGACAAACACGGAGGCCTGGCACTGGGCACAGGGAGGAGCTGTGGCCTTGGACCGCTGGCTTCATGCATGTAAGAGGACCAGGGTGTGAGCCCCAAGCACTTTTCCTGCGGCTGAGGCTCTGAAACAGACAAGCAGGCAGAGGGACCAACAGGAAATGGTGATGCCTGCAGGGGTGGCGGCTGAGATCAGACAAGGAACTTAATGCCCTGGAGACACAGGTGCGGCACACACAGGCAGGGGCTGAAGCTCAGAGGCCGGCCCACAAAGACAAAGATCCACAGGCAAGGCAACACGTGGACAGAGTTTCCTGCCTCCAACACGAGAAAAGGAGCTTCGCCGCTCAAAATGCTGTGGGCACATTGTGGGAACAGCTCCACTAACCCAGGGGACACGCCAGGGCTGCGAGCGTGGCCTCCCAGTGCCAGTGGGGACACCCAGGGAGAACCCAGGCAGCATACGCGCCAGCACCTCGTGGAAGAACTCAATCAGCTCCACCTGGCAGCCCGGCCTACTGCAACTTGGCCTCGCAGCCAGCCGGACTCAGGAGGGTTTCAGCTTCTTGCCTTACCAACGTGTATAAAACCCCGGAAAAACAACCCAACCTTTCCTTAAACAAAAGTTGTACCTACCCCAAGTGCGTGAGCACCTGGCAGAAAACATCTGAAAAACACCTTTCCCTGACGGTGCCAATTAGGAGAGTGAAGATACGCCTCTCTCCTCAGTATTACACTAAGGACGTTTGCACAATAGAAGAGGCGTCACTTACTAGGCACTTCACACATGCCAAGCCACACGCCACACGTTCGTACACGTTACCCCCATTTAACCTCAGCTCTGCCTCTCACCAGCTGAAACCTGGGAGAAGCGTTTAAACTCTTTGAGCCACTTTTCTCATCTGCAAAAGGAAGGAAATCATCAGCATCACATGGCGATTACCAGGAGCCACTTAGAAAAACTACAAAGGGCTTAACAAAGTGCCTGGCACTTGACAAGCACCCAGAGTTTAACTATCAAGAATTGTTACTACCATCCTCGTTAATTCCAAAATCGCAGTGACAAAACAAAGAGTCAACGTACAAACCCCGACGAGACTAACACAGAAATACGGAGGCAGCACAGCTGCTGGGCAACAAAGGAGGTGTCCGAACCCAGGAACGCCCAACTCCAAAGCCCACATCACGTAGAAACAGACACCCCATGTGCGCTCTCCCCAGACGCTGTCTCCTAGGCCAGCCACCCCCGACCGACTTCTGGACAGGGTTCGCTGCGCCCCCCGTTCAGGCCTCCCAACGCGGGCAGCTTCTGCCTTAAGCCCCCCACCTTCGCTCTCAAAACGACCTAAAGACAGGACGAATTTTTGCAGCGCCTAACGACTGTCGTCGTCCGGACGTTCTTGCAGCCCCTGTGCTGCTTCGCACCAGCACGACCCCACGCCTTGCTAACTCGGTACCACCGGGGGTAACGTCCCCCGCCCTCATCTCCACGGCGACCAGATTTAGGAGGCTTAATCTGTGCCCTGAGACTGTACCGGACACGGGGGCCGCTCTCTAGCTGGGAGGGGACAAGACGCAAACACCCCGCGACCGTCGGGACTCCCAGAAGTCCCGTGTCGGAAGGACACACGCGTGTCCTCTCTCACGAGCCACACCGCGTCACGCTTGCCGATACCCGGGCGGGGACCCAGCCGAGGCCCACGTGAAGGGGGTTAGCAACCGCCATTTTGGAACAAAGGGGGCGTGGAGACCCGGGCCGCTGGCCCGGCCGGAAGCGGAAGTGCCGGGGCAGCGGGAAAGAAAGGAGGCTTTGCGGGATCTGATACCTGTAATCTTTCAGTTTAA